CCTAGAACCTTCTAATTTCTCTTTTCCATCTGTTAACCTCCTTTTCTGTTCACATTTTGAAGCAATCCTTGTAAATTTCTGAATTTAGGTAGATTATTTCATAGACGTCAACATTTTATTAGGGTTTTTTTTTGATCACCTAGGAAAAACTTATAAGCTTAATTTTAAAGACATCTATACTTTCATCTGTTTACCCAATTTAAGTTGAACTGTTTAAATCATGTGAATCAAAGATATTTGAGTTCATTTTTTTAAATTTTTCATGAGTGCTCTATATATCTGCCAATGTTCATAAAGACATCATTATTTTTCGGGGCTGGGGATGTGGCTCAAGCAGTAGCGCGCTTGCCTGGCATGCATGCGGCCCGGGTTCGATCCTCAGCACCACATACCAACAAAGATGTTGTGTCCGCCGAGAACTAAAAAAAAAAAAAAAAAAAAAAATTAAAAAAAAAAAAGACATCATTATTTTCATCTGTTGACAACACTTAACACAACTGTGCACACATAACATCATAGTAAAGGCCTTGTAGCTTTTCACAGGTGAAATCTCCATTGCAATGTTTAAAAACCCCACAGTTGATATCAACACATTATTGCCCATGTCTTAAAGGGCCAGAAACAGATACCCAAAAAAAGACACAGGGCAGACAGTGCAGACTGGGACACTGCACTGACAGACAAGAACTTTTAAAACAGACCAGATAAGAGAAAAATCTCCCCAAGTTTCTAACTCCCATTTAATTATGACTCCCACACCAGTGGCACCATAGATGTCCAGACGTTCTCACAGAAGGGAACCAGATGTTCTTACAGTGGACCAGACGTTCTCACAGAGGGGAAACCAGAAGTGTAAAATCAAGGGTCTCGGTGTGGCGATTTTACTGCATTCAGTGTCCCCCTTCTTTTTAAGTAGACAGAGATGGAGCAATCCTTACAGTGCAGGGAAGGAAGGAGGGAGTTCCCCAAAGCAAAAGGAGCTTTGGCAGCTGCTGGGAGTCCCTCAGTCCCTCCTTTTACTTACAGGATTAGCTCCTTGGGCTAGGTCTGAATCCCAGGCACACTGGCATATCTCCTAACTTTCCAGTAGTCGGCTCTCAAAAGTTAATCCTCTGCTTGCAGTTGTTTGGAGTGCCAGTCTTCCCCCTAGAAAGCAGAGCAGGGGCTCCTCTAGAGTCCCCTCTGGGGTGCCAAAATTTGTGACTGAAAGTTCGGTTCCTGTCCTCAAAGCCAATTAATGTCAATTTAATAATGAGGACAGGGTTTTGAGAAAAAGAAAAAGAGAGATATTCAGTTCTTAGATCCCCAGCAGGCATTTCCCTCTGCAGTGGGTGCACTCAAGCCAACTATGGGAAGAAAAGAAAACATTGCTTCCCTAGTCCCATTTAACAAAGGGGAATAAAGTTTATCAAAGTTCTTTAAAACACAGCTAAAAGAGGTGTAGAATATGAGAACAGAAAAGCTGGCATTCTATTGACTTTTGGTCCCTTACAAGGAAGCAGGTAAAGCATACCAGGGACATTTTCAGGCTAAAATGTAGCTAAAGTTACCTCCACACATCTAAGGCAGATCGGAACTTGGGACACTGCATCTGTCCAAAATAAAACAATGCCATCACACTTAACAGAGACACAGGCAAAAAGACACACAAAGACGCAGATTCCCTTTTCAGATTGTCGACAAAAATGGAAGTGGGGTGCTGGCCCCAAGCCAACTGGTGCCTTCCCTTCAGACAAACATATTGGGGAAGTATACCCATCAGATTGGGTCTGACGACCCCAGACTGGGAGATTAGTTCCCTTGCCAGGGTGTTGGGGTGGAGACGGACAGGACAATAGAAACAAATACACATAACACAAAATTCGCAGCGCGTCATAGATTGCTACCCAGAAACTAAAAGCAGAAGCCGACCACGGATCCATCAGCTACAAAATACTTTACTAAATACTTCATAAAGTACTTTACTAAAGGCAATCCACTCAGAACCCAGAAGGGGGTGGGGACGTCTCCCACAAACCTTGTCGGCTGCCCTTCGGTGCATCCACCTGGACCTTTTGCCAACCACCCAATACAGAACCAGAACCTGCAGGCAACCAGAGTACAGAAAATTACAGATCAGCAGTGCCTTACTTACCAGCCGGGTTTTCATGACCTCTCGATCGGGGTGTCTGGGTAGGCTTATAAGGGGGATCCTAGATGAGTCCCCATCTGTTATGCTCAAGTTTGGGACCCCCAAAAGATCACCAGAGTCCAAGATCGATGTAAGCAGCAAGGAGGTGTTCATTGCGAGCTAGCTCGGTCCTCCGCACACACACAGCAACTGGTGACGCTGAGAGGCCCTGAGCCCAGGGTTTGCAACAGTTTTGTACACTCTTTGGGGAAGGCAGGGACCCCCACATACATCATAGCATCTCTTAGCAAATCATCACACACCACGGGAAAATCAAATAACAACTTTAAAACATGATTAGCACATTCACTGGCAGGAACAAGTTGGGTAGGGGTGATTGGTTAGTACAAGAGGGGGATTCGTTTGAACTGATTGGTTTAGGCCACGAAGGGAGTACATGCTGAACTACATGGTTTCCCAGCATGCTATCAACCACCATAAACTACTGGGAGGGTCATCTGGCATCCCAGGTATTTTCCTGGTCTCATGCTGATTTGTGGCTGCTAGGGGGTTGCTATGGGCCCTCACCTAGCCTGACTGAGTCAGGGACACCTTGCATCACAGATCTGTCATTTGCAGCCAAACACCTCAGCAGGGTGGGTATGTGCCTAGGAGTGCTCTGTGGGTCTTTCCAAGGCCAAGGGTGACGCCCGCTTCCTTGGACAGGCTTTGCTCTGAGGTAGAGGCTGTTTTTTCAAAAGAACCATCTAGTTTCACAATGTTTCTACAGTTTTAAAATGTGCTAATATTGGATTTATTTGAGAAAAGGCATTTATCTTCTGTAGGCTTTAGTATGCTCATCTGAATAGTAAAGATGGAGTACAAGTCGTGAACAAAAACCAACATTATTGAATGCTTACCATATGCATAGTTAGAACTATTCTTGTCTCTCTTTTATAGATCAGGAATTAGTCACAAAGAAGCTAAGCAATTTAGTGTATGATGGAGCTGAAATTCAGATCTAACTTTTTCCAACTCCAGAGCCAGCAGATCTCGTCCCTTACCTTGAGATGAGGGATCATGGTCTTCAGAAAGCTAAGGGCAAATGCTGTGGTTTGGGATTGATATCCTAACTCTAATATCATGCCCCAGTACCCTTAACCTCCTACCACAGGCTCCAGCAAAGTTTCCCCTTACATCCCACCAGTTTTCCTGCCTCTATATTTTTAAAACAAGTATTCCCTGAGCCCAATATTTTCTTGTTTAAATGACTTTCTTCATTAACATCTTTAAATTTAGAAAATTATAAACACACCCATACATGTTTATTTTTATATCATATAGAATAAAAGTCAAACTTAAGACTTTTTAAGGTACCACTCTGGTTAGCATTGTTTTGTAAAGAGAAAAAAAATGGTGGTGGTGGTGGTGATATAAGATTATAATGTTCTTTGAAATTTTAAATGCAGATGTCCTGGTAGTGTGTTAAATTGAGATGGTTCCTCAAGGCAGCAGTCCTGTCTAATTTATCCTTGTCCTCACAGCTCAGCATAATGTCTGGCACATAAGAGGCACTCAAAGATACCATGAATTAGATTTTTCCTTCTTTTAAATAATTCTCTCTTTGGTTCTACCAAAGTTTGTACTCTGTATCTTTATTGTGATACACATTATTCTTCTGACACTAGGAATAAGTTTGGTTACTAGGAAAAAGAAACCTTGAGTAACAGTGGCATACACGATTACCTCAAAGCTTGGCAGTACAGGACAGGTGCAGCAACTCTAAGAGGTTCTCAAGCAATCAGCTCTTCCTATCTGTCTCATCTGCTATCCTGATTACAAATCCTTATTCTCATGGTTAAAGGATGCCTGCTGCTCTTCCAGGCATTGTATCTACCTTCTTGGAAGAAGAAGAGGAAATTTAGAGGACGAAGAATAAAAAAGTTTGATCTTCTAAAGGTCTTCCCAGAGACTCCCACCTATATTTCATTTATATGGATATAACTGTGACATGTGGCCACCTCTAGCTGCAAGTGGCTAAGAATTGGAATGTTTGGCTTTTCACCCTCTATAATAGCAAACCAGGGAAAGGGGTTATAGTGGGTGTGTATTGAGCCAACCTGTAGTCTTCCTTACAGATAGTTTTAGTTTCTTGGTATAATTTTCTCTTTCCTGGTAAAACGCAAACCTATGGAGAGCCAAAGAAAGTGTTTTGTAATCTACAAATTGCCCACATGACTAGCAAGTGGCTACCATAGCGCTTATCACAGTGTCTAAGATACTGTGGTTACTTAGTCACTGGTGTTGTATTTTTTTAATATATATATTTTTTTAGTTGTAGATGGACAAAACACCTTTTTAAAAAAATTTTATTTGATGCTGAGGATTGAACCCAGTGCCTCACATGTATGAGGCAAGTGCCCTACCACTGAGCCACAAACCCAGCCTCTGGTATTGTATTTTTAACTTTAATTTAGAAATAAGAACCAGACAGGAATTAGTGACTGATTTCTCTGAAAATTATGGAATCTGGAGAACTCCCTTGGTGTCTCATTGCTCATATCAACATTTGAAAATTACTTGGGACTTTCCTGCTTCATTGAGTTGGACTGTTAAAGAGAACAATTTAATAGTGATATTGCTCAGAATGTTTTGAAGTATAACTCAAGAAATAGGGTGGGAAAGAAAAATGAGATTGGTTCAACAAGCACTTTTTTTCAGAGAGGTAAAAGGGTAGATAAGAATGAAGACAGTATATTGGAATCAAAGAAGAGATCAGCAATTGAAAATTAAGAATAGTCTAACTTACTTTTAGCCTTGCAGAGTCTTAAGGGAAGAAATAAGTAGATTTTCAAATTATTGCTCTGTATTTACACTGTTTCTCTTTCAGAATAGATCTTGTTCCTCTTCTTTGTATTATCTTCTTCATAACTACAAATCATGGGGGATAAAGATAAAACAATTGAATGTCAAGATTCAGAACCATCCACAGGGATGAATCATACAACCTCTGTGTATCAAGAAACACAGGTAAAATGACTGTAGAAATCAAATGTAGAAAATCCTAGCCATTCCTTTAAGGAAGGGATTATGTATTACCAAGCTCTGCTACAACTGCATTCTCCTTGGAGGCATGGTGTGTCACATCTGTAATCCCTACAACTCTGGAGGGTGAGAGGAAGGAAGATCACAGTTCAAGGCCAGCCTAGGCTATTTATATTTAGCAAGATCCTGTCTTAAAATAAAAATAAAAAAGGTCTGGGATGTAGCCCATGGGTTAAATCCCCAGTACTCCTGCTACACACACACACACACACACACACACACACACACACACACACACACACACATACACAGGTTTCTCCTTAATTTCTACTACTCAGTTAATAACTCTCCTTTTCTTAATCCCTAAACATAACAGTCCAGGGTAGGTGTGAGTGCTAGTTTTCCCAAATTACTAAGGTCATCAGTAGCTGTACTCACCTAAGGCTGGCACACATCTAAAAATAGTGACTTAGTGGTAAACACTCCTAATATTGATCTTGTTCCATCCACTAATTAACTAGTCATGAAATTTATTTTCCTTACAAGGAACTATTCTTGATTCTAGGAAAGGCAATTTGATTTGTAATGTGATGAATGAGTAACTATAAACCTGTGTAGAAAGATACCATATGAAGGATTTTTAAAAATTGTTTTAAATACAGGAAGAGACGGTCATGAACCTTAAAGGTACAGATGGAAATGAACCAACAGAAGGAAGCAACCTGTTACACAGCAGTGAAAAAAAGCTACAAGAAATACCAACTGAATCAAGTGGTTTGCAGAGGCTGAGACAGATATTGGCTTGCCCTCCACATGGTTTACTGGACAGAATCATAACAAACGGTATGTATGTATGTATGTAATAAGAATAGATTCAGAAAGAGAGGGTAAAAGATGAAGTTGCACTGAGAGATTCCAAAAATCATGTGGTTTAAGAACAAAAAGAACTTTACTTCTCTCTTACATGAAAACTAGACAAACACTTCACAGTGGTAGGTGACTCAGTTCTGCAGTCACTGAAGGACCAGATTCACAAGACTCCATCATCTTCAACCTGAGGCTTCCAAAATCACTGTGGTCACCACCATTCCAGTGAGTGGGAAAGAGAAAAGAACAGAGACTGAGGAACTTTTCCATCTGTATATTTGGATAATTTTATAAAATTACTTTAGAGCTACAGTAGAAAAAATGCTTAAGAAATTGCTTATAGATGGTATTGATTGTTATTACTGTTAAAGTAATACAACTAATATTTGAGCAAACACAATTTATACTTCCAAGTGAATCTTCATTATTTTTATTTGTTTTAAGGGTTTTTGCTTGTTTTTGTTTGATTTGTTTTGTTTCCTTTTTGCAGTGCTAGGGATCAAACTCAGGGCCTCATGCTTGGTAGACAAGTGCTTTGCCCCGAGCCAGGTTCCCTGTCATTTCATGAGTAAGGTCTTGAGTTGCAATTCAGCATGTTGTAGCAGGGCTGCCATTACTTAAAATACTTTGAGGATTTGGGGGGCAGAGAATTAATCTTAGCACCATTTTGAATATTGTTAAAATTAGGATATATTTGTCTTTTAGAAATGGTTTTGGTTTTTGGAGGCAGCCAAAGGTCACTCTGTTATCAATTTGATCATTCGTTATCAGTTTGATTCAGTGATGCCTTTTGTGTTCAAAAAGGAAGTATGTTTGGGCATAATGTTAAGGAACATACAATATAATAGGAAAAAGGAGAAGAGGCTAGAAAACTGTCTAAAAAGGCAAATTTAAAGAGAGTTTTTAAAATTGTGTTGAGGGCTGGAGTTGTGGCTCAGTGTAGCACACTTGCCTAGCATGTGTGAGGCCCTGGGTTCAATTCTCAACACCAAATATAAATAAATTAAATAAAGGTCCATTGACAACTAAAACAAATAATAAAAAAGAAAAAAAATTTAAATTGTGTTGAGAAATGTCAACATCATTGTAGTAAATATGTGGCTGCCCATATAGATTATGTGCACTGAAAAAATGAAGCTCAATTCTTTATAGCTATTCTTCACTTGGGAACTCTGAAAAATATTTTCATTTGACAGCAAAAGCCAAGTATAATAAGTTATACTTTAGGCTCTGGATATGTTTTTAATGAAATCAAGTCAGGTTCTGAACTAGCTCAGAAGAAAATATCAAAGTTTATTTAAAACACACAGAGAAAATCACATCCCAAAACATGCACTACCTAATAAGGGCACAGATAATTTAATACCTTTAACTTTTACCATTTGTTGTGGTTTGGGTATGAGGTGTCCCCCCAAAGCTCATGTGTGACAATGCAAGAAGGTTTAGAGGAGAAATAACTGAGAGCGTTAACCAGGCAGTGACTTAATCACCTGATGGGATTGAGTGGTAATTGAAGAAAGGTGAGGTGTGGCTGGAGGAGATGGAGCACTGGGATATATATTTTTATTTGGCAAGTGGAATCTCTCTGGCTGCTTACTGATCATCAGGTGAGCATCTTCCCTCCTAACATACTCTTCCTCACTTTGAGCCCCAAGAAATGGAGCTTGCTGTCTATGGATTTAGGCCATAGACCTCAAACTGTGAGCCTCCAAATAAACTTTAGATCCTCTACAGTTGTTCTGGTCAGGTCCTTTAGTCACAGCAGCAAAATGCTGACCAAAACACCATTCAAACTAAGGTACATTTCTGTTAAAACATTTATAATTAAACAGATTCAGATTGTCATAAGAGTGAAAATGAAGGATGTGATTTGATTGCCTTTTTTTTAAAAAAAAGAAAAAAACAATGGTCAAAAAACCGCCCGAAAAAAGGGGGGCAAAAGAAAATAAAAAACCCAACAACTGGTTTAAAAAAACAACTTAATCCTTAATTTTTTTCCTGCACTCATTAGGTATATAAAAGCATTCTCCCTAAGAAGTAAATCTTACATGTAAAAATATCATTTTCTAAAAAGCATGAACACGAAATAAATTAGTAACTGATTTAAACATGATTTAGAGAAGCTTATGAATGTGCATTTGCTATTCTAACTATATTTATCACTTGTAAAGTGGTGCAATTTACTACCAAAGATCCTCATAAGAAATACAGCATGTTGGGCTGGGGTTATGGATCAGTGGTAGAGCGCTTGCCTATCATGTGTTAGACCCTGGGTTTGATTCTCAGCACTGCATATAAATAAATAAAATAAAGGTCTTTTGACAACTAAAAAAATATGAAAGAAGAAGAAGAAAAAAAGAAATACAGCATTTTCTGATACAGACTGTTTCTACACTATGAATTAGCTCAGACGCAATGGTAAATCCGGAGTCCCGGCAGTATGATATGGAACTTGCATTTTTGTGTATAAATTTTTCCAATATGGAAAAGAAAAGGAGAGTTAGATTTTTTTTCCATACCAAGGATTGAACCCAGGGCCATATCCCCAGCCCTTTTTATTTTTTTATTTTGAGACAGGTCTCTCCAAATTGCTTAGGGCCTTGCTAAATTGCAGAGGCTGGCCTTGAACTTGTGATCCTCATGCCTCAGCCTCCCAAGTAACTGAGATTATGGAGGTGTGCCACCATGTCTGCCTAGAATTTTTTTAAAAGTGATTTTAAAGTGGAAAAAGTTCTCTTAATTCTGTCTTGCTGAATTTAGTATAAAGTCGGGTTTATGCTATGACAAAGTAGGATTTATTTGCTGCCAAATTGTGGTTTTCTCAGTCTATCTCTAATATTGCATAATAATTTTAGCCCTTGTAGTCAATTGGAAAATACTTAAGGCTCCTAGTTATTTCATTATATCATTTATTGCAACACAATATCAAGAAAATCTGGAACAAGCCTAGAAAATCTAGAACAATTCTATGAGGATTTACAAAAGAAACATTGGATTTAGTCTCTAGACAAATTATAAAATCACAATATGCACAAGATCCAATGAACAATCCTATCACTTAAAGGAAATGTCTGAAAAATATTTTAAGCCTTTTTCACGTACCTTTGATCAATCAAGAAAACAAGCAATTATCAGAAACCAAAAATGAAATGTAATTAGGAAAGGTAAATAAGGACTCAAGCCAACTTTCACCCTAGAGGTTTCTGTCAAACCCCAGTGAAATTGAGAATGATTTTGAGATCCACAAGAGCACAGGAAGCCAAGCTAAAGCCTACCTGGGGTGGGAGACATGTAATAGGAGAAATGGGTGTCCTTCACCCACATAAAACTGGAACCCAA